CCTGGCGGGTCCCCAGCCCTTCCTGGGAAACCTTAACCCTGCAGGGCCGGTGGTGGCTGCGGGTGCCATCATCCCCAGCCCTGCCTCACCACCTTCTCCCACCTGCTCAAACACCCTGCACCCCACAGAGACACGCGCCCCCCACAACCCACCCATCCCTCTTACGCAGGTCGGGAGCCGGGGAAGCCTTAGGAAACGCCTCGGTCCGGCACGGCTGCCTGGGGGCAGCAGGGAAAGGCTGTGCTCAGGGTCCTCCTCCACCAGCCCTGCACACTCCTGCCCTCTGCCTGTGCTGTCCTCCCGGACACTGCTGGGCTGAGGCTGGGCCAGCGCCTGCCTGTGACATGGGCACATGTCACAGCAGCCCGCTCACAAAGGGCCCCGCTCTCCCCTGCCAAGCCCAGGAGGGAAGGATGGTCCCTCCCGCTTGCTGCGGGGCCAGCCCTTGCTGGGCAGCCTCCACTTGCCCTCTGGTCCCCACACACCCTTCTCACGCACCACTTCACTTTGCAGGCCTTCCGCTCCCCTTAAGCCCTCTGTCCGCCCCCCAGGCATGCGCTTTGCGCTCTGCTGCTCACCAGAGCCCAGCTGCCTTTCTCTGGTGGCCTTCACACTGCACACGGCCCGTCCCCATGGCGCCCCCTAAGGAAGCACCATGGACTTTGCCCCCTTTCATTGCCTCCTGACCCCCCGTCTCAGAAACGCTCCTCTCTCCATGTGGATTTGTGTGGAAAAGGCTCCAGTGGGTGTCAGTGGAGAAGGAGTGGCACTTGTCTGTGCGCAGAGGCACCCACAGGAGCATGCATTTGGCAAAGAGCTCTCAGGATGGCCCGTGTTAAGAGCACTCAGCGCAGCAGGTCCACAAGCTGCCGGCACCTCTGCCTGCTGTTGCACCAGACAGCCCAAGATGGAGAGCAAGAAGAGGGCTGACTCCTGAGGCATCGCAGAGGTGGCACTGGAGGCAGACAGTGACCACGGGCAGCTCCAAAAGAGCGGGTACAAGAAGGCATGCTCTGCAAACTCTGCACATGGTCAGCAACTGAAGAAGAGCCCAGGAGGCATGGGGAGGACTTGTAGCTGGCGTCCTTTGTGCTCCCGCTCATCAGGATGGATGTGGGACCTCACCTCTGGACACAAGTGTCCCAGTGCCTGCCTGCTGGGTGGACAGGGGAACATCCCGGTCAGGTTCAACATGTTTCCTGCCTTCCAGAAATCTTCCTTGGAAGACAGGTGTGATCAGGGTTCCTTTTCCAAGCAGGGCCACCTAGGGCAGGATTTCCACTCACGTTCTGAATACCTCCAAGGAGGGAGACCCCACCACCTCTCTGGGATACCTGTTGAAGTGCTTCATCAACCTCCCCGTCAAAAAGTCTTCTCCTATGGAAGCACAATGTCTTGTCTTTCAGTTGTACCCATGGCCTCTCAGCCTGTCGCTGGGCACCACCGAGAAGATTCTCACCTCATCCTCTTGACACCCTCCCTTCACAGACTTCTAGACATGGAGCAGATCCCCCCTCACTCTTCTCTTCCCCACGCTGCACAGTCCCAGCTCTCGCAGCCTTTCCTCATGGGAGAGAGGCTCCAGTCTCTCCCACATCTTTGTAGGCTTTTGCTGGACTCGCTCTACTAAGTCCATGTCTTTCTTGCCCTGGGGAATTGAGAAGTGGACCGAGCACTCGAGGTGTGGCCTCCCCGGTGCTGCCAGGAGCAGGCCCACTGTTCCTCCTGCAGTCTTGCTGAGTAACCTCGGGAGCTCAGCACCTGTACTCCTGGATGCAGTTGGAGAGTCCAGTTGCCTCAGAAGACACTTGGGCTACTTTGTTCTAGGGGCTGGGCTCGCGCTGTTCCTCGGCAAGCTGCAGTCATCCTGAGGTGCTTTTCTTCTGCAGCTGCGGCTGCCACAGTTCTCTGTCCGTGGATGGAGACTCCACAACCTCTCTGGGCAACGAGAGCTTCCAGTGTTTGACCAAGCTCCCAGGAACTGTGTTTTCCTTATGTTTAAGGAGAAGGTCTTGGGTTTCAATTTGTGCCCATTGCCTCTTGTCCTGTCCCTGGGAGCCACCTGGCTAGGAGCCAGTCTGGCTCCGTCTCCTTTACTCCTCCGCCATGAGGGATTTCTACATGCTCCTATCCAGAAGATCCCCCATGGGCCTTCTCTGCTTCCGCTCAACAATCCCAGCTCTCTCAGCCTCTCTCGGTAGCACAGATGCTCCAAGGCCTTAATCTTCTTGGTGGCTGCACTTGTGCCAGGAGCTCCATGCCTTTTCTTGTGCTGGGGGGAGCCCAACACTGGCTCCAACTCCAGGTGGAGACTCACTCGCACTGAGCAGAGGGGAAGGAGCGCCTCCCTTCACCTGCTGGCAACACTCTTCCCAATGCTGCCATGGATGCTCATGGCCGCCTTTGCCACAAGGGCACATTGCTGCCTCGTGCTCCACTTGGTGTGCACCAGGGCCCCCAGGTCTTTTTCTGCAAAGCTGCTTTCCAGCTAGCTGTCCTCTAGCCTGTAACGGTGCAAGGAGTTCTTCTTCCCCACAGAGGGAATACTAACTCCTTCGCCTTGTCATCCAGCTCCTTCTGCCCGTCCAGCAGGAGCAGGTGGTCTTCTCCTGGGCTCTGTATACTTGGCCCAGCACAGACGGCAACATCCCAGGCTATCCATGTGGCTGATGACAGAGTTGATGCTGGCTTTGGCGGAGCGGAGAGAGCAAGCGCTGGGGGAAGAGGAGCTTTGCTCTAGGCAATGGGTCAGCCACCCAAAGTGAACAGGAAGCCAGTGTGACAGCAGGTCCTCAGGTGAGTGGGTGCTACTTCGGTATTGGAGCAAGTTCCCACTCAACTCCCTGGACTCCTGCTGCCTCT